TGAGCCCTGAGCAGCTGCTGAGGCAAGTCCCGCAGGGTCGGGGGGTGATTTAGGAGGGGCGGGAGGGACAGGAAGGGCCCCGAGGTGCCTGGCTCCCCTGTGGGCGGGGCCAAGCGTTTGTCTTACAGAGTCTCAGTCAGGTTTTCAATCTCTTAAGGAAACGTGATCCCATTTTACTTATTAATTAAGCTATCTCATTTTTTAGAGAGAGAGGAAGGGAGGGAACATCCCCAAGTGGTTGCCTCTCATGCGGCCCCTACCGGGGACCCGGCCCACAACCCAGGCATGTGCCCTGACTGGGAATCGAACCGGTGACCCCTCAGTTTGTAGCTGGCACTCAACCCACGGAGCCACACCAGCCAGAACGACACAGGAGCCCATTTTAGTGATGAGGAAGCTGTGGCTCAGAGGCTGAGCCCAATCACTAACTTTAACGAGTGCGTGCAACGTGCTGTGCAGACCTGCTGTCTAACCCTCTGAACCTCCTGGGGGTGGGGGTGACACCCCTGTTTTACAGAATGAGAAAGGGAGGCTGATGGGAGGGTACGTCCCGTATGTCCCCTACTCCAGGCTCCAGAGCTGGAGGGCGGTTTGGACTCGAAGCCGCCAGCCTAACCCCAGGGTTCGGTGTCTTAGCTGCTTCGGATGACGTCAGAGCAGAGAGAGCCGTGCCAGGGTGCTCGGATGGCTGCTCCCAGGATTCGCCTGAAGGTCCCCCGGCAGCTGGTGGGGGGCAGGTGGGCCAGGTACGGAGTGTCACCGGAAGCAAAGTCCTGGGCGCCTAGCAATGGGCAAAACTAGAGAAAACAACTCTTGTGGGCAGGGCCTCACCCCCGGGCGACCCTTCCTCCCCTGGCCTGGCGCTGGTCATGTGGGTGAGACCCCCTTAGAGGAGCAACACAGGGGTTGCAGGGACCCCCGCCCCTCCCCGGCAGCCCCTCTCTTAAGCATGAAGCCCTCGGGACAAGGAGGTTCTTCTGATCAGCATCAACAATCGCGGGCACAAAGCCTGGGGTCTGTTGACCTCGAGACAGAATTCTGGCCCAACTAGAGATGGCGGCCAGGCCTCAGCTGGGCCTCAGCTTCGGTCGAGAAGCAGCAGAACCAGAGGAAGCCCCCGCCCTGGGCCGGCTCAGGGCCAGCTACTGCGAGCGATGACCCCCAGCCCGGGCGCCGACCAGTCCGCAGAGACCGCGGCCCTGAGAGGACACACCTGGAGAGCTGGTGACTATTCTACCGGGATCCGAGGCCTCCCCAAACCCGCGCCCCGGCCTTGGGAAACAGATAAAAACCCTCCCGAGGAGAGGCCCAGCCCGCTCCCTCGCCCCCTCCAGAGCACGCCCCGCCTTCTTCCCGCAGTGCCCCCCTTTGCCCGCTCTCCTGAGCTCCCGGGGCCCTTCTTCCCTCTCTCCCGGGTCCGCGCAGCGCCGCTGGCTCACTGCCGGCGCTGTGACTCTCTAAATAAACTTGTGTTCGTGTCTTGGCTCTGAATTCTCTCCCAGGCGACTCAAGGACCGAGGCCCGGCTCCGCCGCTCACGCAGCCCCGCCCTCGCCTCCGCGGCAGGGACGGCGGAGCCGTCCCGAGGGGCAGAGCGCGCCCAGCTACAGGGGCCGCGGAACGGCGCAGGTTAGGCCTGCGCGGGCCCATGTGTACTTGGATTTTTTTCAATAAATAGGTACAACACTGTAATTGTATTTTCCTTATGGTGTTTTTATTTAATTTTTTAAAAAATTTATTAGAGAGAGGAAGAGAGAGAGACAAACATCATGTTTTCCACTTATTCATGCCTTCATTGGTGGATTCCTGCATGTGCCCTGACTAGGGATCGAACCCGCAACCTTGGCCCATCAGAACGATGCTTTAACTAACTGAGCTGACCGGCCAGGGCATGATTTTCTTAATAAGTTTCTTTTTTCTAGCTTACGTTAGTGTAAGAATACAATTTATAATGCATATAACCTACACATTGTTGATCGTTTTTTTTATGCTGCTGGTAAGGCTTATGGTCAACAGCAGGCTGTTAGTCAAGTCTTGGGGGAGCCACAAGTCATATGTGAACTCTGGGCTGTGTGGGGGTTGCCGCCCCTAACCCCCAGGTTGATCAAGAGTCGGCTGTACTCCGCACTCACTTTCAGGAGAGCCGTTAGTAACCCGCTGGTACCACCGGACCGCCGTGCACGCCTCCAGGGAAGGCGTTTATCTAACAAACATTGTTTAATGTTGCTATATGCCACTTCCTTTCTCTTTCATCCACACCCAGGGATACTTTTTCATTGCTTTTAGAGAGAGAAACATCGATGTGGGAAGGAAGCATCGATTGGCTGCCTCTCATATGCGCCTGGACGGGGGGTTGGAGGTGCTGGGGCCGGGGCCAAACCCACAACCTGGGCCTGTGCCCTCCCTGGGAATCCAGCCCACATCCCTTCGGTTATGGGTCGATGCTCCAGCCAACTGGGCCACGCCAGCCAGGGCGTACAAGCCCCTTCCTTGTCTAAGGACATTAGTAATGTTAAGTCATTCATCCTTGTAACAGCCCTATGCTGTAGGCGCTGCTACCATCTCAATTACATAGATGGGGAAACTGAGGCACAGAGGGCTGAAATAATTTGACCAAAGTCACAGCTACAAAATGATGGGGCTATGGTTTGAAACCCTGCAGTATGGCTCTGGAGCACGGCCAAGCGCGTCTTGGGCGTCCTTTGGGAAAAGCCACCTACTTGTTTTCATAAATATATTCCCCTTCCAAGATGGCGGCTTGTCACAGGTAAAGAAATTGCTTTTTGTCCTGGGATGAAAAGCCTCACAAAGGAATGACTCTCACTTAGAGGCTTGGGCAGGATACTGGCTGAGATGAAGGTAGTTTTTTGAAAGGGCGCCTTTTGGAAAAATTTTCAAACTTCATTCAATACCGCCGCCCACCCCCCAACACCCACTGTGGGCCCTGGTGGACATGTCACCGGGAGAACGCCTGTCCTCAACCTTCTTCCCAAGCTGATACTGGGACGTACTTCCCGCGTCCGCAGCGCTCACCTCTCTTGAGAGCTCCTCTATAGCCCAGTGTTCTGAGCAGCCCAGATGTGCCAAGAACTACGCTGGGTACTAGGATGCAGCATGGACTCTGGATCCATGGAGGGCGGCGGGATTAAATGGCAGTTTCAGCTCTGTGACATCCTGGGTGGGGACGTGGGGACCTGGGCTTGGCCCCGTCCAGGCAGCTCCCAGTGCCCGGGAGCCTGCGCACGGCGGGACGTTGTTCAGCAGGGTGTACTGGTGCGAGCGCTGACTGCGCGGCAGCGTCCTGAGGAATGGGGAGGGATCAGCGAAGCGAAGAGGTGTGGGGGTCGCGGGGTTCTGGGCGAAGGGGAGAGACCAGGTGCAGAAGGATGATTCTGCAAAATGTAGACCAGACTTCAGGAGCAAGGGCTGGGGGTGAAAGACCTGGAAGGTCTTCTCTGTCCGGTGGGGTGAGGGGGCAGAGATCGGGGCCAGGCTCTGGGAGGTGGCGAGAGCAGAGGGGAGAACCATGGAGAAGTCCAGCATGGCTTCGCTTTCCTGTTTAGGTTTACCCTCCACGACACCAGCCGCTCCTTTTGTGGTTCCACTTTCTCTTTAAATTGATTTTTGGAGAGAGAGGAAAGGAGGCAGGCAGAGAGCAAGAGAGAAGAAGGCATTAATTGGTTGTTCCGTTTATTCACGCATCACTGGTTGAGTCTTGTATGTGCCCTGACCAGGGATCGAACCTGCAGCCTCGGCGTACTGGGCTGATGCTCTAACGCACTGAGCCACCTCGCGGGGGCCTAGGGTTCCACTTTCAACCAGAGGACCCCAGGAGCTCAGGCCTTCCAGCCCCTGGGGGCGAACACCTCCGCCGAATCTGGCTGTGCTCCTCCTGATGGTGAACCGTATTAATGGTGAAGTCCAAAGCTCTGAAGGTGAGGGGGACAGAGCTTTCTCTGGAGTCTCTACATCACCGTTGGGTTTCTGTGTGTGCCTCACCACCTGGCGAAAGGTAAACGGCCAACGGGACAACGACATACCTGGGTTTTACAGACCAAGCGAGGTCCGTGAGAACCGTTCCAGCTCACTACTCTGCCCAGTAGGTGAGTGTGAGGCCAGAGCCGCTCGCTAAGATTTCAAGTTCACTTGCTGGGCAGGTGAGTCAGCGGGGAAGCGTTGGGCTCCCTGGGGCTGGTGAAAGCCACCGCGCCCTACCTGGAGCCTGGCTGGCGCCAACATCCCGCGGCAGCTACGGGGCGGGAGTAGTTAGTTTCTTCTTGTAAAAAAGTTCTCGTCTGCCTCAGAGCCAGGCACACGCCTCCCAAGCCGAACCACGTGTCCTAGGTACAGCGTTTTGTGGCTGTTCCCCTCCCCCGTTCCCTTCCTCTGCTGTCTGCCTTAGGTGGCAGGAAAATCCTTTACCTCCGACCAATCCCACCGATCCCGAGCCGCGCGCGCGCGCCAACTCGAGCCCCTTCTCTGTGCGTCATTGGCTTCCTCCACCTATGAAGGGTGACAGGCAGCTTCGCGGACCTATTGCGGCAGGAGGCGGAGGCCACTCGGCCCACCCAAAGCCGCTTTGTTAGGGGCTCTGTCGCCGTCCCCCAACAGCCGCGCGTCCTCGGCCGGCCCCAGCTGCCCCCAAGCCGCGCCGCGGGGGTCGCAAGGGAAGGCAGCCCAGGTGCGCGCGGCACTGCATCCTTCCGGCCGCGCTCCGGGGCCGGGATGCAGCGAGGTACCCAGCGTGCTCCTGTTGTCAGTCTCCAGCTCAACTCCGAACGCCCCGCTCCTGTATCCACCGTTGTTGATTGGTCGGCAGGAGGCGGAGCGACCGTCAGGCAAACCAATTGGAGCCCGGTTTCCCACGCGCTCCTCTGGCCCCGCCCCCGAGGCCGCCCGCGGAGGCGCCCTGACGGCTCTCATTGGCCGACCGCGAGTGCCGAAGCGCGGCCGGGCGGAGCAGCGCCGCCGCCGTCGGGCTCGCGTCTCTGCAGAGCAGCGGTCGCCTCGGTCCCCGCAGCCCCGGGATCCCGGCGTTCCCGCATTGTTCCGTCCCAGTCGTGGAGATCCGGGACGAGCGTCGCGGGTGAGTACCGTGGGCCCGGGAGCGCGGGCTGGCTGGCCGGAGCCACCCCGAGGGCCGCGGTGAAGATGCCCGAGCTACTCTGCTCCTGACGGGCACGTCCCGACCCCCGTCTCCCGCACACCGGGGCTCCCGGCGGGTCCTAGCTCCCCCCGATTGCGTTCTCTGGTATTGTTTTTGTGTTCGCAAACTCGGGAGGCGGGGAGACATCTCTCACTCGAACCGTAAGGAGGGTGACGAGCCAGCGGCTCCCAGGTGCCCGGCGCCGAATGGAAGTGACAGTGTCCGGGCGCTGGCATTCGGTCTTCCTGGCGGCGGGAGGTCAGCGCTGACTTGCGGCGGCGGCGGCGGCACTTTGTATTTGTCGGCTGATTTTTATCAACTTCGGGGAGGGCGTGCGTGTGCTTGCGTGTGGCTGAGTGTGCCTCCGTCCCCGACCTGAGCACCTCCAGGCCCGGGATTTCGGCGACGCCGACTGGGCACTCACCTTGGCGATCGGTGCCCTGCTCGGGGCCAGACCCACGGGGAGGAGAGCCGGGGGTTGGCACGCTGGGCCGAAGACCCGCGGCCGATCAGGGTGGGGGCATTTAAAGCGGCATCTTGCGGGCGCGCAGACAATGACTGGCCCGGGCGCGGGGTCCAGAGGTCTGTGCGTGGGGTTCCCGCGCGCGATCGCGGGCTGCCCGCTGGGATGCTGCTTTGCCGCGCCTCTCACCGCCGGGTCGGGGACCCGCGTGGGGCCTGCTTTTGTTTACGGACCTCGCCATTGGGCGAGAGCTGCGCTCTGCGCTCCCCCGGCCTGCCGCTGCCGCGCGCCCCTCCGAGCTGGGAGAAGTTGGTGCGTGCTGTCAGGTGATGCCCCCTCCCCCGGCCTCCCGGAGAAATGCTGCAGGGAAAAGACGCCCTGGAGGCGCCTTCGCTTCCACTATCGGCCGCGCACGCACGGCGCCCCCAGCCCCCTGCTCCCAGGGGCGCGGCGTCCCGGCCAGGGTCCCTCTCAGATGGACGGCTGTCGGGGCGCTGACCGAGCCACCCGCCCCTCCCTTCCAGTAGCGTCTTCTATCTAGCCTTGCCCTCTGATCAGCCCACGTCGACCCGAGCCTGCCTTTTTCTGCGCGCTGGCAGAGCTTGAGTCTTGAAGGACGCGCGCGAGCCCTTCGGGACGCCGGCCAATCCGTGCCCTCTTCGTTGGTACCCACGCGGCCCCGCGGAGCAGCTGTGGGGCACCCTTGAGTCAGAGCGAGCTGGATCCGGTTACCCACGCGTGCTGACTTGGCACACACTTTGTTAGAGCTGGAGTAGAGGTGGAGAGCCTGGCGCGGAGGTCAAACCAACCCGGGTTCCAGTACCTGCTCAGTGCCACTCACAAGCTGGGTGATCCAGGCCAGCTACTCAATCTTCTGCGTCTCAGTTTCCGAGCATGGAAAGTGGAGATGAGCATCCCCGTTGCGGGGGGTGGGGGGGGAGAGGGTTAAAATGACAGTGGCAAATTAACTGCTTAGGACAGTGCCTGCCACGCATGAACCCCTGGCGGAACGTGGTTGTCCTGGTAGGGGCTCTGTTACAGGGACAGCCCGGTCCTTTCCCTCCGGCCTCCACCCTCCCAGCTCCTGTGCGCGTTAAAAAGCGGGAGGACCGCTCTTTTCCGCTCAGAACGGGGCTCGTTTTAATGGGCTTAGGTTTAACTCCGTGGCGCTTAAACTAATCGTTTCCAGCTTCGTTTCCTGTTTGAGTTTCCGTCGGGTTTCGGCGGTTTCTCCTGCCGGCCTTCCCTCTGCCTTGAGGCCATGCTGAGGCCCAGGCCTGGGCGGAGGCAGAACCTGTCCAGGTGGGAAGGAACCAATGGCCGCCGTGCAGAGCGGTAAATGCCCGGATGGAGGGAAGTTTGAACAAAGAGATACCTGGAGGCAGGGAGGGAACACTTCCTGGTAGCAGGGGGTGTGGGCTGGGCCCTGGAGCCGGAGTCTTGTCCCTGGCAGGTTTCTAGAATACGCTCCTTTGCACCCCACAGTAAAGAGCTCCTGCGGTGGGGGGAGGGGAGATTGTCTTTGAGTGTAAACACGGAAGTTGCTAAGTAATTATCACCGAACGGGGGAGAAATAAACCTCCAGAGGAAGCTGTGACCAGCTCGGGAAGGCAGGAGGGAACTGATTGCGATGAATGGCTTCAAAATGCTGTCGGTGTGTTTTGACTTGTTTTTCCTCTGCTCCACCAGCTGACTTTCCTTAGGCAGCGAAGGAGCCAGTTTCATACAGAAAAAAACCAAAGAAGAAAAACTGCCTACCATAATCAGATATATAGTTTAAAAAAGACCATCTTAGGCTTGCCTGCAGAATAAGACGTTATTGGGAAAAAAAAAAGCAGTTTCCACACCCTTTCGCCGGTCGGTCGGGGCGAGTTCCTGCGCAGAGTGTCCCCTATCGCGTACTGTCACCCAGGCAGGGAGTGCAGGTCAGGCCGTCCCCCTGCCCAAACAGACAGACGACACACCCGCAACGGAACACCTGCCCGGCGGCAGCCCTGCAGCCTGGGTAGCAGGCCGGCGCCTCCGCCCCTGTGTCCCTGGCCTGTGCGACCCCTCCACCCCCCCCCCGCCCCCCACCCCACCCAGGATCAATAATCTGCGAACCAGTTCTGAGTTCCCGCGCATTCTGGGAACCCGCCAGCCCCCAGGGCTGGGGAGGTGGCTCTGCCCCCTGCTAGGGAGCTCACCGAGTGGGGCCTAGACTTGAAAGGGGCACAGGGTGAGGAAGCCTCATTAGCTGACAATTTAACTCCACTCTAAAGCTCCTCCGAAGAGCTGGAACAAAGGCTGGTCCCTGCCCCCTGCAGGTCTGTCTCCCAGCTCCCCACCCTGCCGCTCCCTTCCCAACCTGGAAGGACAGACAGCCCGGGTCCTATCTCCTCCCCCACCCTCACCCAATCCCCGCGGGCTCCCTCCCCACCCCCGCGGCGGGGAGCTTGCTGTCGGAAGGAAGGAGAGGCACTTTGTGCAGCTGCCTGTGAGTAGCTTTGAGCCCCCAGTATGTGGCGTGGAGGTCCGTGAGGATGGGGCGGCTGCCGCTGCCAGGGTGCGGCCGGCCGGGCGCGCCTCCTGGCAGCTCCAGACCGGCTCCCGACGCGCAGGTTCCGGCTTGTGGTTAGCAGAGGCAGGATATCGTTTCTGGCTGCGGTCGCCTGGGTTCCTGCATCTAAACACTGTCTCCCCGGTGTGCGTGTGAGTGAGTGTCCGCGCACAGATACGCTTTCCCCTCCGAGGTAACCAAGCAGAAGCCAGGCCTGCCTGAGTGTGGCTGGCAGGGTCACAATATGGGTGTCATGGTGTATTAGCTTTAATTTGAACATTTCGCCTACAGCACCATGGGGTGCACTTGAGTGTGATGTGGCTATGTAACAGAATGCCCTGCTCATCATCTTGTAATAAAGATTTTGTCATAAAAAGGGCGTTATTTGTGCGGGCCCCGTGGGTGAGTGGGGCGCATGTTTCTGAGTGTGTCCCTGTCCTTTCTCTCCCAACATAAAACAGATGTGCAAGTGCCCCCACAGAGGTTTTCTGTTTTGCACAGTTCCAACCTCCAGGTCATTTCATCTCTGAATGTTCAGTTTTGTGTAAATAATAACTCCCGTGGTTAAAAAAAAAAATCTCTCATCTGTGTAGGCCAAATCACTTCTTTTTAACGACTTAAAAAAAATTATTAAATAAAGGAGACACTGAAAAATAAAGCAGCGCCCAGCCAGGAACAGAGTGTTTGGAAAATGAAACAATGCTCTAGTGTAAAAGAGTACAAGATATTAATAGTGAGGCGACGTCTCCTGTCCCAAGCTCCCGCGCCTCCTTCCTCACTCCCGCGCTCCCTCGCGTGAAGCCGCCCTGTTCCTGGGCCCCGCGGGGGCATCATTAAGAACTTCATTAAGGCCTGGACTGTGGATGTGGAGAGCTCCTGCCTGTGCCCGTGTGAGATCCTTCTAGAAGACCTTGGAGCCTGTGCTGGTTGGGCCAGGGCTGAGCTGACACTTGCATTCTGCATGAGGGGGTCCCATTCACGTGGGCGGAAGTGGGGGCCACAGCCCTGGCCTGACATGCCAGCCCCCCGGCTGGGTGCACTCAGGGGTGCGAGACAAAGAGCGGCCATTCAGCCAGGAGCTCTGTGGGGGGCAGCTTCCACGCCCCCCACGTCCTGGCCTCCGAGTGAGCCAAGACCCTTGACCGCTCCATGTTGTCACAAGGTTTCCTTCCACAGGGGACACGTGGGTGCAGTTGAGGAAGGAGGTCCTTGCGGCTTTGAGACCCTCGGCCACACTGGAGTGTAGGAAGCAGGCTGCTGCCAGTTCTCTGGGGGTCGCTTTGAATTCAGGAAGGAGGGGGAATAAAAGGGAGGGAAGGGTGTTTGGTTTGGAAAAAAAAGGCACCTGTGTTTAGTTCTGGCCCCGGTCCCCCTTAAGCTGAAAGGCATCCTCTACAGGTTTGCAGGGAAATTTGTGGCTGGGAGCTCGTGGCCTCGGTGCCCAGGCTCGGCTTGGGAGGGGAGAGGAGGGAGTTGGCCCAGAGGCTATGGGGACTCAGTGGCTTTTCCTTAAAGACGCCACCGATCTCTGTTCTCCGCGGCCGTGGCGGAGGCAAGGTCCTGCAGAAAGAAGCCGCTTGGCACGGGGCCTGCAGCCCAGCGCGCTCTGGCCGCGCCTCCTCCAGGCTGGGAGCTGCTGACCTTGGACTCAGAGCCTGCTGGTCCCTGCACCTGGCCTCCCCTGCCCTCTGCCCAGCTGATAAGGGGCTGGGAAGCCACCGGCCAGCGCTGGGGAAGTGGCCAGGAGCAGATTTCCCCGGTGCTCTGCAGAAGAAAGAGGACGGGCTGGTCTGAGGTCCGCAGGTGGCGCCCCAGGGCCCTGGGAGAGGTCTGCTTCGCCTCCCCTCCTCCCACCAGGCGGGCCCCCCCCCCCCCGGCTTTGGGGGGCGGCTCTCCTGCCTGGCCATCTCAGAATTTCTTCAGATCCTGCGGGCAAGG